GATATTATATAAATCTCGGGTCTATATAAGCGTACGCTGGCGGCACTTTGCTAGCACAACCAAAATCTCACCCTCAAAATTTCCTTTCCTTCTCACAAAGTCTCCCAGCTGCGATACTTTTTTCCTTCTTACTACTCTCACTCCCATTATTCTCTTTCCTTCTCACAATGGTTAACTTGATTGCCTCTCACATCGTCAAACCAGCAAAACCAATCCCCACAAAAGTAATGTTTTTATCTGAGTGTGATCAACGTGTGCCCGTGACTCATGTAACTATCGTCCATTTTTACAAGCCAGAAGGTCCAGAATTGCTAAAAGATGCCACTGGGGTTTTGAAAGAATCACTAAGCGAAGCCTTGGTGGCGTTTCATCCGCTTGCTGGACGTTTATACCAGAAAGATGGGGGCCGAGTTGAGCTGCAGTGCAATTCCATGGGAGCTTTACTTGTTGAAGCACAATCTGAGCTCAAAATACAGGATTTCGGAGACTTCTGTCCAACCCCACAAATCCGTGCCCTGATCCCACCTATAGATAACAATAATACTCCCCTTCATGAGATACCGCTCCTTCTAGCGCAAATTACAAAGTTTGCCTGTGGTGGTGTTTCTATAGGCTTGGCCGTGTCACATGTCATTGCGGACGGCCACAGCGGGTGTCATTTTGTTTCCGAATGGGCAAAGATTGCACGAGGTGAAAAATCTGATGATCAACCATTTCTAGATCGAACAATTTTTCAGAAATATGAAGACGATCACCCATCATCAACAGCCCCAATATTACAATACTCGGACTTTTTCCCACTACCCGTCCTGATAGGCCAGTCTAGCAGCTTGGAAGAGCGTAAAAAGGCTACCATCTGCGCCATGCTTAAGTTTAGTAAAGACCAAATTGAGCAGATCAGGAACAAGGCCAACTACCAAGATTTGATGATTCACAAAACTAGCAATCAAAGCCCCTTTAGCCGGTTTGTAGCAGTATCTGCACATATATGGAAGTGCTTATCCCAGGCCCGTATGCACAACCCCGCCCAAGAAACGGTTCTATATGTGAATATGGATTTTCGCAATCGGCTTAAACTACCCTTGCCCGGAAGGTACTTTGGAAATGCTGTCTTACCTGTAACAACAAGAGCCATTGTAGGTAACCTCCAATCGAGGCCACTAAGCTATGCTTCAAGCAAAATTAAGGAAGCAATAGAGAATGTTACAGATGAGTATGTAAGGTCATATCTTGTTTGTATGAAGAACATTCCGGAGGTATCTAGCAGTCGACATTTTCACGCCGTTGGTTGTCCACAGGGGTTGTTCTTAGGAAATCCCAATTTGATCTTTACAACTTGGGTTGGTCTGGGCTTGTACAAAGCCGATTTTGGGTGGGGAAATCAAATTTTCTTGACCCCTGGGTCAGTTGCTTATGATGGAAAACTCTTCATTATTCCTAGTCCTAATGGAGATGGGTCGCTATTTATACCATTGTGCCTACAAGCAGAACACATTAATGCTTTTAAGAAGCATTTCTATGATGATATATGATGATGTAGACTTACAAGGTTCGTTCTTGTGTAGTTTCATGGGGCTCAGTAAAAAGCTTTGTCATATGTAATGTAAAAGTTAGGTGCCACTAACATTTGAATTTATTTGTTGGACAGGGAGCCTACAAATTGGCAGCTGGTGGAGAACAGTTCAAATTGTTGGACGTGGAACTTTTAAGAAATGGAAGATGGAGTAAAGGGAAGCCAAAAATTTGTCTCCAAAGTAGTAGCAAATAAGGAGACTTTTACTCCTTTGAGATAGCTAGTATGACCTTTACGATGTCCTTTTTCTTAAAAAAAAAAAAAGGATTAATCTTGTATGTATCAAAAATAGATACATTAATGAGTATGGATACTTGTTATTTCATTTCAATTTGAACTAACTCTCAATTTCAATTTTTACACATGTTGTATATATCTATGTTTGTTATTGTATATACTGTCAATATATATATATGATTAATTTTTTTTTCTTAAGCAAGGGCAATAGCCCCACTTTTTTTTTTTTAGTATAAACAGGAGGACTCGAATCTAAGATCTCTTGCTTACACTCCCTCCCCCGTATCACCCAACCCACTCCTCCCCCGTATATAAGATTAATTAAAAAAAAATATGATGTATAATCTTTTCATGATATTATTACTTTAAAGTGTCAATCTATAAAACTTGTTTCTTACACAGTAAAATTTGAATTATGATGAGCATTGTGTATTGGGTACTTAATTGTCATATTCCATCCCATAGCAAAGAAACTTGTAAATTGCGTGATGGCATATCGACTACTAGCTTAAGCTAGGAATGGAGTAGCTTTAGAACCACCATGGACACTTAATCTTTTTTTTCCCTCTCTTATGAAATAACATTTATAACCTATCTTATCTTAGTCTGAGGGGAAGAAAGAATTCAAGTGAGCTATATGAGGGGTGAGAGGGAAAGAACCCATATAAAGCAGAGGAGTACACTATTAGACATCTTAAAGCAAAGGACTTATAGTCCAAGAGGAATTTTATATTCCTTCTCAATGGCCAACTTCCCAAATCCAGATTGGTTCTATGTAATCAACTCAGTGCAGAGTAATTGCAGATTGGTTCTATGTAATCAACTTCCCAAATCCCTTTTGTACAAGTTCATAATTATCTGATCTCTGACCAATCGGAGCCTGCCAGTGTGGGGCCTGGATGGTTTTTTTTTTTGGTTTTTTCCTTTCAACTAGAACGAGAATGTATAGCCCTCGTCCCTTGCTACTTTGTTGAATCGGAAATCAACTTCCAACTAGAGTCCCTTAAATTCATTATCTAGCCGAAATACAAATCAAAATTGTTGATTATTCAATCAAGCTCATTCAAAACTGGTTTGTCAACTAATGCTGTTGGACGTGGACTTGAATCAGTAGTAATTAAGATTTCAAAATTGATTTGATATTGATGAAACTTGAAATTTATCACTAAGAAATTTACGTTACTAGAGATTGACTTCCTAAAAGTGTGAGACTGGAAAAATTAACAAATTAAATATAAATCAAAATTTTAAACTTTTTAAAATAAACAAAAATGCCAACTAGCCATTTTGAATAAGTCTTGTTTACATGCCTAGCAACTTAGGACCAAAACATCAAAAATACACTTTCTCCTGTTATGAGGTTCCATTAAAACCATACACAAACAAACCAGTTTTTACTTGAATTTTTCTCCTTGTTGAACTTCTAAGTACATAATCGAGCGAAATACATCTTGGTGGATTAAATAAGGGCTAAAAAGTATCGTGGTTTTGTGATGACCGCAAAGAGACGCAGGAAAAGGTCTTTGCTTATTGCGTCTAATGAGATGAACTAAATTGGTTCTTGAATATTTCGTTGAACCTTTTTCTTTTGTAATTCCTTGTGAATGTGGTAAGATATTTACTATAATTGCAACAACCAAAGTACTTCCTTAAATATATTAGTTTAAGAGCACGTGGCATTACCTGTCTCCAATATTAATACTAGTTATTGTTTCACTGGTCAATGTTGATATACATACACCAAGAAGGTATCCATGGAAGGATCAAATTTAGTTACAAAAATTCTTTTATATCAAAAAGGTTATGTTGAGGAAATTATTTCTAGATACAATTGAAGAACTGAAGACCATTGAAAATATATAATTAATTGCCACGAATTCCATTCTTTACAATTTGACATCTCCAGACTTTTGAGCATTTTCCCTGATAAAACCACAAAGTAAAGATTTTTTTTTCTTACAGGTGGATTATCCCACCAAATTAATAAGCGAATCGGAAACTGAACTCGAAGGCAATGCACCAAATCATGAGCAATGGATCATACACGTAAATGGGAGTGGCAATCGTATCAGAAGTGAGTTGGTGAGTTGAGTTGAGATCCAGGTATAATAGGTAATATGCTGACTTGAACATGACCTGTCAACTCACAACAAGTCAGGATACCTGACATGAATCTGAAATTTTCGAGTTGGCAAGTCAGCCGAATGACTTGGTATGACCCGAAACATAATTTGAATTTACTAATTTACCACTGTAGTTTCTAATAGAATCAATTTCGCACAAGGCTTATTACATGATCAAGTAATAAAAATTTCGATAAAACAACCCCAAAACAAGTCTGAAATAAATTAAAAACTGTAAAAGTAATTTATCCCAAACTAGATCTAAAATAAATTAAGACATTATAAAGGTAGAAAATAAAGTAACACATTATTTGTCCTAACTTAATAATTCCAACTTCACATGAGTCAAACAAATTCATTTAGAATTAAGTGATTAATGCCTTTGGGAAAAAAAGAATAACTTAGTTTAGTTAGATAAAATATTTTTATATTTATTAACTTCTTTTCAATTAATAATTGGGTTATCGGATCAACCCATGGATGAATTGAATTCGATCTGTTTTCTTTTCGAGTTCATCGGCTTTGACCCAATTCTGATGCAAACTTGCGAATCTCAATGCAAACCCAATAATTTCATGTTAGGTTGGTATCGAAAATTGCCATCACTACACGAAAAGCAGAGTCTTCACAATTTTCATATGTGATACACTATAAATATTGGAATCAACTCCTTCTAGAGGAGTTGGCCACCACATTAATTGTGGGGTGAAAGGTCAAGGGTTCAAATCTTGCCTCCCATCAAGGTGCCTCAATATAAGGTTTGTTCTAAATTCATATGGGTGTGTGATGCACTCATCTGATCTGATAGTGGTTCAGTCTCCGTCAGGTTCCCCCGGCTTAGTTGAGCCTTCCCATAGAGTAAATTCCCCTCTCCCCCACCCCCTACGACAAAAAAAAAAAGATACACTATAAATCTTGGGTCTATATAAGCATACGCTGGCGACACTTTGCTACCACAGCCAAAATCTCACCCTCAAAATTTCCTTTCCTTCTCACAAAGTCTCCCAGCTGCCATACTTTTTTCCTTCTTGCAATTCTCACTCCCATTATTCTCTTTCCTTCTCACAATGGTTAACTTGATAGCCTCTCACATTGTCAAACCAGCAAAACCAATCCCTACAAAAGTAATGTTTTTATCTGAGTGCGATCAACGTAATCCCATTACTCATGCAAACAGCGTCCATTTTTACAAGCCAGAAAGTCCAGAATTGCTAAAAGATGCCACTGAGGTTTTGAAAGACTCACTAAGCGAAGCCTTGGTGGAATTTTATCCGCTTGCTGGACGGTTATACCAGAAAGATGGGGGCCGAGTTGAGCTGCATTGCAATTCCATGGGAGCTTTACTTTTTGAAGCTCAATCTGAACTCAAAATCGAGGATTTTGGAGACTTTTGTCCAACCCCACAAATCCGTGCCCTGATCCCACCTATAGATTACAGTAATACTCCCCTTCATGAGGTACCGCTCCTTCTAGTGCAAATAACAAAGTTAGCTTGTGGTGGTGTTTCTTTAGGCATTGCCGCATCACATATCATTGTGGACGGCCAAAGCTGGTTTCATTTTTTTTCCGAATGGGCAAAGATTGCACGTGGTGAAAAATCTGATGATAAACCATTTCTAGATCGAACAATTTTTCAGCAATATGAAGACTATCACCCATCATCAACAGCTCCAAAATCACAATAATCGGACTTTTTCCCACTGCCCGTCCTAATAGGCCAGTCTAGCAGCTTGGAAGAGCGTAAAAAGTCTACCATCTGTGCCATGCTTAAGTTAAGTAAAGACCAAATTGAGCAGATCAAGAACAAGGCCAACTACCAAGATTTGATGATTCACAAAACTAACAATCAAAGCCCCTTTAGCCGGTTTGTAGCTGTATCTGCACATATATGGAAGTGCTTATCCAAGGCCCGTATGCACAACCCTGACCAAGAAACGGTTCTATATGTGAGTGTTGATTTTCGCAATCGGCTTAAACCACCCTTGCCCGGAAGGTACTTTGGAAATGCTGTCTTACCTGTACTAGCAAGAGTGACAGGTGTCGAACCTGTGCAATAATAATAAATAAATCCTAACTACCACCTGAAACAGCTAATAATCAATTCGAGTACTGGAGCAGGGACTCTAGGTGTGCAATGGGTTACTTGATTCACCCTGTTCCCGAAGAGTTTGCTTAATCCGATATACCTGAATTAATTATTTAACTGAACTCCCTAACTAGCAGACAGTGGTAAGCAGGGTCGTCTTCTCAGGGACTGGAGAAATATTTGTTTCTTTTCAAATCAAGATTAATGGGGGGGGTTTTGGTATCAAAAGCCAACCGAACAAATTAAATGCAGAAAATAATTAATTAAAAGAAATAATTAAGAGAAACTCTAGCCAAGGGTATACTTCAGAAATGGTTCATGCACTGATCATTGATGCAAAAAATAATCCCAACCTTTATTAATAGATTGGTTCTAGTTGTCTCGCACGCGCTAAACAACCAACCCTTCCTTAATTTATCGATAGCTAAGGTACGACCGTTAGCTATTTCTCTAACCAAAAAACAACCCTAGGTACGACCGTAGGATTCAATTTCTAGATTGCATTAGTAATTAGAAAGGCCCAATCCTGACTAACAAACACGCTACGAGGGTTCATTCAAGCCAGATCAAATATTTCCCTGACACAAATCCAATTGTGCCAGTTGCTACTGGAATAGAAGTAACGAACAATTACGGATTCAATCACCCCTATATAGCAAAATAGCCTATATGAACAATTAATTATTGCGCACTAATCAATCATACATACGGCTATAACACTTAAGAACAGGAAATATATAAATAGTAATAAATGGAGTAAATAGTTAAAATAAATTCGATCTTCAGTAATTTCTGAACCAAATCGTCAGTTGTCCCCTTGACTAGAATTAGGGGTTTAGTTCCCCATTAGTGGAGAGTAGGCCGCGCGTGGAAAATCGGGCGAAGTCACCGTATCTGACCTTTTGGTCAAGAGCAAAAGACAAGAGCAAGGGATCCGAGTTTCCTGCAAATGTGCAGCCCTATCGTACAAGAGTCAACAACGGCGGCTTCCTTTTTGCTTCCTTTCTTTCCTCACAAAAACAACATACGAGAGGTTGCTTTGCTTGGTTTTGTTTCAATCAATTCACACAAGATAGAAAAAGCAAGATACAAAGTCAACAATTGCGGCCCTCTTGTCTCTTTTCCTGATTGCTAAGTAGAAGACATACGGGAGAAAAGGTTTCTCAATTGTTTTCTTCTACAATTCGGTCAAGGCTAATAGAAAAATTCACAGGAATCACCAAAGTCCACAAGAGTGGTTAATGTCTGCTGCTCTCTCTTCCCCTCTGCCAAGATGCGGCGCACCGTGTCCTTTCCCCCCAAAAACAAAGAAAAAAACTCTCCCCCTCTAACCTAAGCCGCGCAGGAAGATAAATTACAAAATTGTTACTGCTTCCCCCCAATTGCAGCCAGACTCCCTAGACATATATTAAAATAAAATCTATTACAATTAGGTTCTTCAGCTTCTCAAACGGGCCCCACGTCCGATGAATCTTCTAAAAGTTAAATTTAAGCACTTTTCAGCAACCATTCCTGCAATTAGCACCAAAACAAAATATCAGTAGAATCCATCCAATTAGCGAAAATATTTAGTCAATTAATTATGCAATAACGCCCAAAATACCCACTAAAATGCAACCTATCAATTCACAAAATGAATTTCTCCATCCCTCACATTTCAAAAAATGAATATTTCCATCCCTCACTAATTATGTATATGAGGGAAACCCTTAAAAAAATGTGTTTGAATACATTTTGTTTAAACACATGTATATGTCTATTTGATTTTGCTTAATAATACGAATAGCATAAATATATGTATGTGTCTATTTGATTTCACTTAACAATACGAATACCATATATTATACGTGATCATTTGATTTCATCTGGTATTAGCTAGTAAATAATCTTGCATTCATTGTCAAGTTGGCCAATATAGCTATTTTTGGTCAAAATACAATAAGAATATGCAAATTAAGGTTCTATTGGTAAATATTAGTCATAATCATACAAAAAGAGAAGATAGCCCACAAGTTGGGTCCAATTACATACATGTGTTTATGCTATTATTATTAAGCAAAATCAAATAGACATATACATGTGTTTAAAAAAATGTATTCACACACATAATTAGTGAGAAATGAAAAATTCATTTTTTGAAATGTGAGGGATGGAGAAATTCATTTTGTGAAATGTGAGGGACGAAAAAAATCATTTTATAAAATGTAAGGGACGAAAAAATTTATTTTATAAAATGTGGAGGACTATAGATTAGATTATGTAAAATATAATTTGACAAATTTACCCTTAAAAAATGATCATGTGCCTTGCACATGATGGATTCCGGCCAAAAAATTATCGGAAACCTAGTTAGGGACTAAATTTGTCCGATATGAATATGTAAGGGATATAAAATTACACTTTTAAAAGTGAGGGACGAAAAAAGTTATTTTACAAAATATGAGGGATGTTTTGAATGATTTTCCCAATTATAAATCATCATTGAAAAAAAAAATCCAATCTAGAATGGATGAGCAATTTCTTCATGCTACAATTTACAGCTAAAACCCTACTGACATTGAAATATATCTATCTATCTATTACTATATAAAAAGTATGATAAGTCTTTAGTATATAACAGTGTAAGCAAAAATTGATCTTAGTTTCTGTGATACTAATATTGCTTTTCACACTAACAAATAGACAGATTACATTGCATTTTCTTAATAATTAATAAGAATTATGCTAACAGTTACAAAGAAACATTCCTTGAATTGTGGTGATTCTGGTGAATTAAACCAAAAAAAAAAAAGAACAATCAATTCATTGCATTTCATCAATAATTAATATCAATTATGTCAATAATTATGAGAATAAAAACATTCCCTTGAGTTATCATGAATCAAATCGAAAAAAGAATAACAAATTTATTTATAAATTATAAAAAATATGGTGAATCTTAGTGGTTAATAGTGTAAACAAAAAATGATATTATTTTTTGTGATGCCGACATTGTACTCCTCTCTAATAAAGGGATAAATTGCATTACATTTCATCATTGATAAATAATATCAAACATGCTAATAGTTACAAAAATGAAATATTCCTTACTTTTTTATTTACCAAAAGAATGAAGGACAAATTTTATTTACAAAATCCAAGTTTAGAGAATACTTCAAGCATGAAACAAAACATAATCAATTGGTATTATAAATCTTTTAAAAAATTCCACGAGTCTTATTATTTCTTGGATACAAGTAAATTAAGCCTTAAGAGTAGAGGTGGCAATATGAATAAATGGTTTATAATTGGTTTTGACTTAATGGATGGTGGATAAAATTTATCCAATCCATTTAAATCTATTTAATAAATGGATCTAAATGGATGGATCTAAATGGATTAAATAAAAACCAATTATCCATTTATAATCCATTTAAATATTTTACTAGTTCCCTTATTCCACATTTTTCTAGTTTAGAAGACAGCCGATGGAAATGTAGTAGTGAGCTGATTAGTCCAAACTTACGAAGACTCCCCAAGTCCTCGGACATGTTTTCTGAGTCTCCGAGGCCAACACCAACATCAACTAACGACCGCAATGGCGAGAGCGATGCCCTATTGGCTGGCGAGCCGTTTCAGAAGTTCATTTCCTTTCTGTTTCTTTTATTTGGTTTTTAAGTAAATGGATATATATGGTTTTTGTGGATAATTCATATAAATCTATTTAATTTAATGGTTTTATTTTGATTAACCATTTAAAACCAATACTATAAATGGATAATCCAAATCCATTTAATTATGGATTATATGGATGGACAAATGGATCTCAATCCAAATTGCCACCTCTACTTAAGAGCACTTTTTTTAATATGAGCATATTAGTATTGAGTAAAAAATCTTTAATACAAAATATAATAGGAAACAGAGTACCAAGCTAGGCAAAGAGTTTTATGTTGGGAATTATTTATTTAAATTGCAATAAAGATTAAATTTAATGAACTTTATCAATCATATTCTTGTAACAATTAACAATATTAAACTACAATTAATGAATAGTATATTCATCAATGCCAATCATTATAATAATTACAAAGGTGAAACATCCCTTTGAATTATGGTAAATTAAGCCAAAAAATATTGTTTTATAAAATATCAATTTCAAGGAGTACTTCAAAGGTGAATAAAAATATATCCAAGTTTAGTTTGACTATTATATAATAAATAATTTTAACGTTGTACACTTTTTAATCATATAAACTCTATAATCCTAAAGCATGTCTTCAGTGAAAAATACAAATAATTTTCACCAAATCAAAATATTTCTCTTCAAAGTTAAATTCGAACAATGGAATTTCAGTATATTTAAATACTATTATAATTATAATAGCACTATAGATCATATTACAATCCATCATTAGCAAAAAAATAATAATTATTAGAAAATCTCACTAAAACTAATAAACGATTCATAGAATGACTTAAAGGGAAGCAACAAATTATTCAAAAAATTAAAAATTAAAAATTAAATGGCATAAAAAAGAACATTTAGGTCATCTAAATTTAACTAAAAGACAAAAATATTGATATTGTTATAAACTAAAGGTGCTCTTGGAACAAAAAATAATTTATTGATTATCCATTTGTATTGGTTGGGCAAATCAAGTTCAGAAAAAATATAAAATAATATAAATATTAAATATCACATTTGTTTCTCAATTACATTTATTCCCTCAAAATAATTAATTTTCTAAAATTTTAAAGAAAAAAAAACATCACGATCACATGCAATGCATGTGCTCCATTACTAGTAGTACTAAAAGCATAACATGGAGAAAGTTCAGTGGAGAATGTTGGAGAGTCATTGTCATTGAAAATTTTGCTTCAATCACAGCAAAGCTACCCAAAACGACATATCTGTGGTCCCCCGTCAAAGCGGAAATATGAAGCTTCATCTTTTGTTGCATTTGTAAGCAGAAATATGAAGCTTCGTCTTTTGTTGCATTTGTACTCCTTCACTAATTCTTTGTGGACTGAACCTTTATGGATTTTCACCCCATATTTCCTTCTTTAAGATATTTTAAAGTTTTCTTGGAAACAAAGTTCCTGGAAGATACTTTCCGCTCGAAGATATTTTACAATGGAACAATTTTTCAAAGCTGTACGTGTATCATCTTCCAATGCCATTGCCACAAATTCTACTCTTTTCAATTTGGCTTCTCTAGACTTTTGAGCATTTTCCCTGATAAAACCACAAAGTAAAGATTAGATTTACAGGTGGACTATCGCACCAAATTAATATGCCAATCAAAAATAGAATCTGAATTCGATGCACCAAATCATGAGCAATGGATATATATGTAAAGCAGAGTCCTTGAGACGAGAGTTTGGAATTTTTGCTATGTAGCCATTTATTTTCCCCTGTATCATAACCTTCACAATCTTGACATATGAAATATAAACCTCGGGCCTATATAAGCATGCGCCCTACCACAACCAAAAAGTCCACCCTCATTTCTTTCGTTTTCACAAGAAATTTCCTTGCCACACATTTTTCCTTTCTACAACTCTCACAAGTTAGATCTCATCCTCTTTCCTTCTCACAATGGTTAACTTGATAGCCTCTCACATTGTCAAACCAGCAAAACCAGAAGATGTATTTATCTGAGTGTGATCAATGTAAACCCTTGACTTATGCAACCACCGTTCACTTTTACAAGCCAGAAAATCCAGAATTGCTAAAAGATGCCACTAGGGTTTTGAAAGACTCATTAAGCGAAGCCTTGGCAGCTTTTTATCCTCTTGCTGGACGTTTATTCCAGAAAGATGGAGGCCGAGTTGAGCTGCGTTGCAATTCCATGGGTGCTTTACTTCTTGAAGCTCAATCTGAGCTCAAAATCGAGGATTTTGGAGACTTTTGCCCACGCCACAAATCAGTGCCCTGATCCCACCTATAGATTACAATAATACTCCCCTTCATGAGGTACCGCTCCTTCTAGTGCAAATCACAAGGTTTGCCTGTGGTGGTGTTTCTTTAGGCTTGGCCGTGTCACATGTCATTGTGGACGGTCAAAGCGGGTGTCATTTTGCTGCCGAATGGGCAAAGATTGCACGCGGTGAAAAATCTGATGATCAACCATACCTAGATCGTACAATTCTTCAACAATATGAAGAGTACCCATCGTCAATAGCTCCAAAATTACAATACTCGGACTTTTACCCACTACCCGTCCTGATAGGCCAGTCTAGCAGCTTAGAAGAGCGTAAAAAGGCTACTACCTGTGCCATGTTTCCGTTAAGCAAAGAACAAATTGAGCAGCTCAAGAACAACGCCAACAACCACCACGATTTGGTTCACAAAACTAACAATCATCAGCCATTTAGCCGGTTTGTAGCTGTATCTGCGCATATATGGAAGTGCTTATCCAAGGCCCGTATGCACAGCCCCGACCAAGAAACGTTCTATATGTGACTGTGGATTTTCGCAGTCGGCTTAAACCACCCTTGCCCGGAAGGTATTTTGGAAATGCTGTCTTACCTGTACCAGCAAGAGCATTGCAGGTGATCTCCAATCGAGGCCACCAAGCTATGCTTCAAGCAAAATTAAGGAAGCAATAGACAAGGTTACAGATGAGTATGTAAGGTCATATCTTGCTTGTATGAAGAACATGCCCGAGGTATCTAGCAGTCGACATTTTCACACTGTTGGTTGTGCAAAGGGGTTGTTCTTTGGAAATCCCAATTTGCTTATTACTAGTTGGGTTGGGCTGGACGTGCACAAAGTCAATTTTGGGGGGGAGAAGCAAATTCCATGACCCCTGGGTCATTAGGTTATGATGGAAGACTCTTCCTTATTCCTGGTCCTAATGGGGATGGATCGTTGATTATCCACTGCGCCTGCAAGTAGAACATATTAATGCTTTTAAGAAGTATTTCTATGAAGATATATAATGATGTAGACTTACAAGGTTGGTTCTAATATAGTTTGTGTAGTTTCATGGGGCTCACTGAAAAGCTTAGTCATATGTAAGCAAACATTAATTGCCACTAACATTTGAATTTATTTGCCGGACAGGGAACCAACGAATTGGCAGCTGCTGGAGAACAGTGTGAAGAGTTATTATTGCAGGCAAACGGGACGTGGATCTTTTCAGAAATGGAAGATGGAGTAGACGGAATCCAAAAATTTGTCTCTGAAGGTAGTAGCAAATAAGGAGATTTTTACTCCCTGAGATAGCTTGTATGACCATTACTATGTCCTTTTTCTTAAAACAAATACTATATTAATCTTGTATGCACTGAAAGTGGATACACTAATTCAGTGCAATTTCCTTTGTGTCCTTTATGGCATGTTGGTTCTATGTAACCAACTCAATCCAGTTCTTATCATGTTCTTTTTCATGTGTGAGCTTGAATGGGATGTAAATTTTGTTGTAAATGGAAATGGAAGTATAAAAGTGTACGTGCGGTTCCCATGACTCCTCCGTTAGCTCCTCTAAATTTACTGTATAGGAATTTACATTTCTAATTTGTTTGAAGATAAAAGATTGAAAACATTTGGCCCAAGGCCTACCAAAATGGTCACTTTTCCTTAATAACAAGATCTTCTGTGAGAACTGGTCAATTCTATATCTTTGTTGTGCAATAGATATGTTATATTAAAAAAGACCCAAACAAGTTACACAATTGCAAATCATACAAAAGCAAATTAGTTGATAATCAACCAAATATAAAAAGAAATAAATCAAATTTAGCAAAAAAAGAAACACTCTTAAGTACATTTTCTAATACCGTATCAAATTCATCTTTTTCATTCTTATTCTTATTGTTCACTTTTATGCTTTCCCTTGACTAGCTTGTTTCTTCCTTAGATACGCTAGTTGTATTTGGCTAATTCTTCCATATTACTGTAAGCCTAACATGGTATTTTTTGACCTTTATGCATCTATTGCCTTTTTTCTTCATTTTTGATTTTCTTCCACTTGTTTCCCATTATATCCTGTTTCAAGAACTTCCTTAGCTGTTCAGTTGGAGTCAGGTTCAAGAACTTCCTTAGTTGTTCAGTAGGAGTCAGCAATCATTTCACTCCTGGTCCTTGACTTGAGCTTTCCTTGGCCAAACAATCCACGCTCATGTTCCCTTCTCTCCAGGTATGAGTAAACTTCTATTTTTCTAGAGGGAATGCAATATATAAGTCTTTGGGCTTGAGTGGGTGCAAACTATTATAATATTGCTAACAATATTTTAAAAGGCATTCGCGGGGCGAGTCCTCGGCATGGCGTTCCAATACTGCCCTTGGGTGATCGTATAAGGCGAAATTGTGTGGCTGTACGTTTGGGCACGCCTCTAAAGTGAGGCATTAAAAGCGTACACCCCACAAATTGTTTTAAAAAAAGAAAAAACAGATTTAACTTTATCAATTAAATTTTTAACTTTTTAATATTTAGTTTTATTACTAATTTACTATCTTTATATTGAGACATTGAGTGAATTTGATATTAATTTATTTGAAATATAATATATGGTTAGGCAAGCAAGGAAAAGGAAAAGAGATTGTTACCTATAGATTGGATCCGGTGATGGGATGGAAATTCCAGAATTACCATCAACTATTGGAAGAAAATTACCTAGTATATATACACTATATGAAGATGATGACATGAATGATATTGACTTTGATGAATAGTATCATTTTATTTGTCAATTTATTTCTAATTATTGGTGCTATTCCTTGTTATGTATTATAAGCAATATGGTTGCTAATTTCGGTACTTTTGATACTAGTTAAGTGTGTTTATTGAAACAATTAACCTTTGAAATTTGTGTCTACTTCAATTTATGTGTTTGTAATTTAAGTGCTTGATAATGTGGTGACTTTTGAATTTTGACTAGTTCATTTCTAAAATTGAACTTTTTGTAATTTTAATTATTCTGCTTATATGTTTGTAATTTAAGTGCTTGAATATTAACTTTGATGATTATGTAGTTAATTATTCTGTTTATTTATATCTTCAAATGACTTTTTTTGTAATACATATCATATTTTTATATATTTTAAAAAAATTCGCGGAAAAAAATTCGCGGGGCTTATGCCTCACACCTCGGGGCTTTCGCCCCGTTGGGCAGATACTAAATGATCCCCTCAACACCTTCACCTTTTAAAACATTGAGTACTAAATTAGGACACCACAATATTTTTATAGCGTAAAAAAGAGGTTTTTAAAAATTTGAGGGGAAGGAATTGCCCAACCTCATGAGTATGCGGCTCTACCCCTGATCAAAATTAATCAGTTAATACTCGAAAGTAGGCAGAGATGGAGAGGTAGTAGTAAGTAGGTATTCCTTTAAGAGGTAAAATTTGGAATACATACGGAAAAAAAAAAGAAGATATTTGATCATTAGGGTATTCCATTTGATAAGGACCTGGTAGATATAAGAGAAGAAAGAACACGATGGATTCCAATTGTGGAGCTGAAATTGTTAACATTGCAGTTTATTAAAATTGAAGAGGGAAAAACTGGAAGGATCCAATGTGAGACAAGCTAATGGCCTGTTGGGTAATCGGAATTTTGTGGATAAGCCTTGTTTTAGGTGGAGAAAAAATGGCAGCACCAATATTTACTTGTTCAGCAAGAAGTTGAACGTAAAGGCTGTGAAGGTTGTAAAACAGTCGAGGATTAATTGTGTAAAGGATGAAAAGTTACCCATAGTAATTATGAGGTACCTTCTTTGAGACTGGTTTATGTAATACTTATACATATCAAGGCAGTTCTCCAAATGCCTTCTTGCAGTTCCCTTATGTAATAATTTGCACAAAAACGCCCCATACAAAATAAAAAAGTGTGTAACAAGGAGATATTTTTGTTCATTCCTAAGTCAAGTTGGAAGCTTGCTTCCAAATTTGACGAATGGCCTTGAAGACAGTCAAATTTGTTTCCGAAAAAGATTCCAATATAAATGGGGACAACTGACAAGAAGCTCCAAAATTTGGGCTGGGGTGTAGAATTTCTGAATGTGAGGTGGGTATTTTCTTGTTATTCAGATCCAGCATCCAGCTGTACCAGGTTTGTTGGATCATTTGAGGTGGGCATGGCTTATTGAAAATGGAAATGGTGGCCATGTAATGATTTATGAGGACAGATTAACAGAGCTACAATCTCCTAGACCTGATTGACGGAACATGATGACTGATGAGAAACAGCCTCCTTGGAAGTGATTTGCATCGAAATATATCTCTGGGTCCATGAGAGTTATCCACAAAAAGATTGTAGTAGCTTATGTTCACTTTGCTATGTGCGAACCTCGCTTCCACATACTGTACTACTGCTGACATTTGAAGTAGAGGTTCCTATCCAGCATGATTAGCCATCTCGGCTGAGTTCGATATGATTCGACCAAGTCATAACTGGAACAGAGGCGAGCGATACGATACCGATTCCTGAATTATGAATATTTTTATATTTACAGCGACTCGCTCTGACTCGACCAATATTGGCCGATTTGAATTGTGATACATGAAATCAGCCAAAATATTCGAGTTAACTCGGAGTCGACTCAGATATTTGTTCAGATGATGTATTTTATGTTATTTTCTATTTTTAGTAATTTTTTCAGAATTTTAAAAATTTGTATGTGCTATAATTTGTGTATCGTCCGATATTTAATCGATATGCGATGATGGATATCGAACAACTGTGACCGCGACCTGCAACGGCCAAGCATGCTATCCAAGCTGCTGAGCGCTTGAGGGACTATACTTCTCTTTGAAAACAATGAACCAACAGAACCACAGGAACCGCTCACAGAAGACATTCGATTGGAGAAGGCATCCTTGCCGGATACAAAAAAAAGTTCAGTCCTCAAGTTCGATGAGGAGGATGATGGAGCCAAAGTACCCTTGAAGATCCAACTCGGAAAGGAGCAAGGCATAGCAGCAAGTGAAGAAGCAGATCGACTGTCGAGGCAGACCCTTGAGGCTAAGGACAAGATTTGCCTTCTGTGCACTACATTCAGGTGGGTGACGATATCTACAAAAACCACCAACTTTACAGTCCCCAGTTTCCATATATATAATACTGGCATTCAGGTTGGCCAGGTCTCTGGGGAAATGCATGTTCCTTCTGGTTGCTTCCTGAAGGACCAGCAGCTGGAGCTGAGGGAGACATTTGAGTTATTCCATAAACAGGACCAGCTTCCACAGCAGGTTGGGTACTTGCACTGGAACAGGAACCATATATACCTGGGGGAAGCAGCACGGGACCATGCATTTACCTGTGCAAAACTCAAGGTTTGAAGTAATTTTCATGAAACTCCTGTCCAATTTACTTGCATTGTGAAGTACACTTTGGATTCGATATTCACTTGAATTTTGTCATTGTCAGTAGCTCAATACCGTAGAAGTCACAGATGAGATTCATAAAAAATGTACAAAATCTGGTGAACCAAGTTTTAAACAACTAATGCCATGTTTGCGCTGGTTTGACTTGGGAAAATTATTAGGTGTTTAAATAGTTTCTTATTTAAAATAATGTTCTTTATGGTACAGAATTTAGTGAACATTTCTACGTCATGCAACAAACCTACTTTTATCCAAAAAAAGAAAGGAAAAAAAAGGAAATTGAATACTGATTTAAAGTCATCTTGTTTAATTACCTATTAACAACTTGTCAAATTGCATAGTTGCATATTTTATTTATGTTCATTTAAGTTAAATGTATGATCGTGATCACTATACTGGGCAAACAACTTGATTTTATACATGTCCTTTTTTTTTGAAAAAAGAATATGAAAACGGTTAGAAAAAAGAATTTGAATCCTTAGCTCCACAGATATTTAATTGATTTGGTAATCAAGCCAGTGCAGAAAAGCGGCTCAAACTTGGACTAATGAAGCATCTGAATCCCATCCCTTCACTCCCTAACTTGTAGGATCAAGATCCTCTACAATCACAATCACAATGGCGATTGCAGGGAATAGTTCATTGTAAAAAATGTAGTGATTTAAAATTAGATTATTGGAATTGAATTTGTAAGGACAATTTCAATAACTGACAAAAATTGTTGTTCTTTGGCATGTTGTTGTCTTAATGTCTACATTAATTTGTTTAGTATTTACATTTGTTATATCTGATTCTATACTATATAGTGCAATTGCTACTGGTGACTACAGAAGTCCTGGATCCTTAATAATTTCGTCAAAATATCTAAATCAATGATTAAAGTCAAGCCATTGTAGCTTCAGTCTTCAATCTTTGCCGGCCTTCGGGCATGATCATGCTTATTGCCCATTCAACAGTCCTGCATACATTGGAGAGTCTCCAGGCTCATTACATTGAGGCTAAACGGGGTGGTGCCACCCCATTATATCCTGGTTCAAGAACTTCCTAGTCCTTGATTCAATCTTTCCTTGGCCAAACAATCTGCGCTCATATTCCCTTCTCTCCAGGTAAGTGTAAACTTCTATTTTTCTTGAGGGAGTGCTATATATAAGTCTTGTAGTTTGAGTGGGTGCAAACTATTATAATATACCTTGTTTAAGACACCATAATATTATTTATAAGGTGAAAAAGAGGTTTCTAAAAATTTGAAGGGATGCAATTGCCCACCCTCCTGAGTATGTGGCTCTACTTCTCATCAAAATGAATCAGTTAATACACGAAAGTAGGCAGAGAAGGAGTAGTGAGTAGGTGTTCCTGTAAGAGGTAAAATTAGGAATACAGATGGGGCAAAAAAGATATTTGATCCTTAAGGTTTTGATATCCTCCTTCACTTATGGTATTCCATGTGATAAGGACCTGGTGGATATAAGAGAAAAAAGGCAAGGTGGACTCCAATTGTGGAGCTGAAATTGTTAATGTTGCAGTTTATGAAAATTGAAGAGGGAAAAACTGGAAGAATCCAGTGTGAGACAAGCTAATGGCCTGTTTGGTAATTGGAATTTTGCGGATAAGCCTTATTTTAGGTGGAGAAAAAATGACAGCATCAATATTTACTTGTTCAGCATGAAGTTGAATGCAAAGGCTATGAAGGGTGTAAAAAAGTCGATGATTAAAGGTGCAAAGGATGAAGAAGTTACCCATAGTAATTTTGTATTAATCTATTCAACTCGGTCTAAACTGGAAATCAAGTTTGCTGGAAATTAAGTTGTCAAAGAAGGTTGAACTAAAGAAAATACCAATTATACAATGATGAGGTTTGCTTAAGTGTTTACCTGTGCACAATATTCATGGCTCGAGGGTAATTTTCATACTAATTATCTTTCATTGACACAGTTTAGCACCACAAGAACAAAACAGGGAGCAGCAGCACATAAAGCAACCAAAAAAGCATTAAAAAAAAAAACAATAAATGACAATAGCTATCAATAGACCATCGTCAAAATTACCGTAGATCGATACTAGACTAAAGAGTCTAAAATGTACCATAGACCACTCAAGGACAAAACATCAAAACAACAGTTGCCCTTATTGTGAGTACCATTCAATGCAGAGACAAGGAAACCTCCTCTATTTACTTGAATTTTGTTCCTTACTGTCTTTTGTGGTGACTGCAAAGGAACTCAAGTAAGGGTCTTTCTTGTTGTGTCTATTGAGAGAAACTCAAATGATTCTTATATGTTTCATTATAGTTTTTCTTTTGTAATTTCATGTGAATTTGGTAAACAAGAATATATTTTCTAAAACATAATAGTTTAATACCACGTATGTCACACGTGACATTGCCCACTTGGGATCCTCGGTGACATGTTTTCTGTGCCAATCCAATGCCACCTATAGTATTGCGCCAAGTGTCCTGTTATTATTTACACTTTAATTTTCTAATAATTCAACTTGGTTTGGTTTAACACAAGTGTAAATAATAACAGGACACTTGGCGCAATATTATAGGTGGCATTGAATTGGCACAGAAAACATGTCACCGAGGATCCCAATTGGACATTGCCATCTAAATGTTATCTATAATTTGCTATTTTTAAAGCTAATCTTGATATTAATTTACGAAGAAACTATACAAATGATCAAAATCAGTTAAACTCCCTCCATATTATTGTCAATATCATGTTTTACATTTTTACCATCCCTAAATTAGAGTCATGCTACAAATTTTCCTTCCAACCTTTTCATCTTTACCCTCATAGGTGCATGTCACAGAAGTTACACAATTGCAAATCATACAAGAGTAAATTAGTTGATAATCAACCAAACACAAAAAGAAATAAATCAAATTTAGCTAAAAAGAAACACTATAAGTCTTTTCTCGCTGTTCATTTTTAACTAGCTTGTTTCTTCCTTAGATATGCCAGTTGTATTTGGCTAATGCTTCCATATAACTCTAAGTCTAACATGGTATTTTTGACCTTTTATGCATCTATTACCTTTTTTCTTCTTTTTTTATTCTGATCCAATTGTTTCTCATTGAAAAATTGGGTATTGATTGATCTAGTTTTATTTTTGGATGCATTGGAGAGCCTCCAAGCTCTTCACATTGAAACTAAACAGGTGTTGCCACCCCCATTATATAATCCTGGTCCTTGACTCGAGCTTTCCTTGGCCAAACAATCTGCACTCATGTTCCCTTCTCTCCAGGCATCAGTAAACTTTTATTTTTCTTGAGGGAGGGCAATATATAAGTCTTGTAGTCTGAGTGGGCGAAAAATATTATAATATAACTAGTTTAAGACACCACAATATTATTTATATCATAAAAAAGAGGTTTCTAAAAATTTGAGGGGATGCAATTGCCCACCCTCATGAGTATGTAGCTTAATATTGGAAAGTAAGCAAAGAAGGAGAGGTAGCAGTAAGTAGGTATACATCTAAGAGGTAAAATTCGAAATACTTATGAAAAAAAAAAGACATTTGATCATTAGGGTTTTGATATCCACCTCCACCTATGGTATTCCATGTGAATTGTGATAAGGACCTGGTGGATATAAGAGAAAAAAATAAAACTAGGGTTGAACTAAAGAAAAAATCAATTATACAACGATGAGGTACCTTCTTTGAGACTGGTTTGCTTGAAGTGTTTACCTGTGCCCTACATCCATGGCTTGAGGGTAATTTTCATACTAATTGTCTTTCATTGACACGGATTAGTACTAGAAGAGCAAAACATAGAGCAGCAGCACATAAAGCAACCAAACAAGCATTAATAGACCATCGTCAAAATTACCTAAGATTCATAAAATTCTTACAGTCACATGATACTAGACTCAGAGTCTAAAACATACCATAGACCAGTCCAGAAAAAAACATCAAAACTACAGCTGCCCCTGTTGGGAGTACCATTCACAGCGGAGATAAAGAAACCTATATTTACTTGAATTTTGTTCCTTGTTGAATCTTTTGTGATGACTGCAAAGGAACTCAAGTAAGAGTCAAGTGATTCTTATATGTTTCTTCATAGCTTTTCTTTTGTAATTTCATGTGAAATTTGTAAACAATAATATATTTACTAAAACATACTCCCTCCCTTTTTTTATAACTGACGTTTAAAAAATTTGCTCTAGTGTACTTTTATCTGTCGTTTTATTATCCCCATACAGTATTAATTATTTTTTTACAATTTTACCCTTTTATCTCTCTTTTCCAATACAGGGTTGTTAATTACTACTCTAGTTTGGTGGAAGTTAGTTTGCATTGCTTTTGACCTAGTAAAACAGCACCATTTAGTACTCTAGTGAGAAAAAACATGGGTGAATTGGACAATGAATGATGGTACAAAAGGAAAATAGTGTACAGATTTAAGCAATGAAAAACTTTTCTTAATTGGTGTGCAAAACCTTAAACGTCAGTTATAAAAAAGGGAGGGAATACTAGTTTGATATCGCGTATGTCGCATGTAACGTTGCCATCTCTAATATTACTTGTAACTTGCTGCTTTAAAGGCTAATCTTGATATTAACTTACAAAGAAACTACACAAATGATCAAAATCAATTACACCCTCCGTGTTATTATTGTTAATGTCATGTTTCACTTTTTTACCATCCCCAATTGGAGTCATGCTACAATATTTCCTTTCAAACTTTTCATCTTTACCCTCAGAGTTGCATGTCACAGAAGTTACTAAACATTTTAGTAAGACCCACTATTAAGTACCCATTTGGAAAATCTAGTGGTGTGTACAAAACGACTTCTAATGGCAAGGCTTATGTTGGTTTGTAAAAAATGCATGTGTGGAGGATGGACCCTTGGATTTATTATAAAATAGAAAAAACAAACATTATCTGACTACGGGCGCAAATTTGGAAGCAAAATCTCAGTTGTCCATAATGATCTACGTATATTAAAAATTTAAAAAAATCGTTCAAAACGTCTCTCACATTTTGCAAGATGATTTTTTTCGTCTCTCACTTTTAAAAGTGTAATATTACGTCCCTTATGAATTCACATGGATCAATTTTGGTCCCTACCTAGATTTTTTACTAATTTTTTGTTAGAATCCACCAAGTACCTTATACATGATCATTTATTAAGAGCAAAATTATCAAATCAAATTTTATATAATTCGATTCATAGTCCCTTATATTTTGCAAAATGAATTTTTTCGTCCCTAACATGTTACAAAATGAATTATTTCATCCTTCACATTTTATAAAATGAATTTTTCCAT